AGGCGCGGCTCACCCGCCTCACCACGCCAACTGACCGCGCTCACCCCGGTCCAGTTTTTCAGTTGTAAACCACAGTTTTTTATTTCGCTTAGATTAATGACTGAAAAGGATAGGACTGTCACTTATTCTTTGGGGGTGTGTGGCCTTGTCACAAAAATTAGCGAGGAACTTACTGAGTTAAAATTGTAGCGAGCTATGCAGCATTAATGTTCAATGAAGTGTTCTCTTCAAATGCTTGTAAAGGTAATTCTGAAGACCATGTTGATTTAAAAAAATTGCTGCAATGTATTAAGGCAATAAGGCTAAGTTAGAACAGCGCTTCTGGCTCCCAGTGTGAATGTTCATGGTGTTAAACAAGTATTGAATAATTTAGGCTGTTTCAGTCAACTTTACTTTTAAATATTTTTCAAGGAAACTATGTGATCATGATGTTACATTAAATTTCATGTAATATGCATTGTTTGTTATCAGTCCCTAGCTATTAGTTAGATGCTAGTACAACTTACACTCAATTGTTTGATTATTTATGTATTGCCAGCATTCTGTGGTCTGGATGCATACCAGTACATTTAAATGTGACCAGAATGAAGATTTATTTTAGATGAGCCAATATGAATTTAAGCAGGGAGTCATTAAACAAAGCCATCCTTTGCCAGATACTGACACGGTTGGTCTGTTTTGTATGGGAACCGTATGTCCTCCTTGGTTAGGAATGAGGAAGAAAATTTTGCCCCTATCTGGTATCTCTTGAGGCAAAAAGTTCTGTGTAAAAGTAGTAATGCTGAAGACTCGGTCTGCTAGCACAGCTTCTGCAGCTCAGACTAACTGCCATAAGGTGTATGTCTAGTAGGTCAGTTGCTGCTTTTGTCGAAAATAACGACCCTTTTTTCGAAAGTGACTTTTTCAACTTACTTTAAACAAGTGGTCTGCTAAAATACCTTGTGGGAGTTTTCTCAAGTTATCCTCTTCCATACTTAGAGAATAAAAAAAAATCTTCTCTTTCATCAGTACCAACTGGTTATCTGTCTTACATGAAGCGTAGGTAAGACAAAATTTTCAGGGACCGGAGCTCAGTCTCACTTGAAGGTATTGGTGCTCAGCTCTCTGGGTTCCCACCCAGCTGGCACCGTAGGCAGTGTGGGGCACCGGGTGTGTTGCAGATGGAGTGTATGTTTATCAGTGAGCTTGTAGCAAAGTCTGAGCAGTTACTGTGCAAGTGGTTTCCCCTTTGTGTTTTGTGGAGTCTTCTTTTGCTGTGTAGGTGACTTGCTGTGCCCTGTGTGCACTCACCTAGGGCACCTGGAAACCCGATTCCTGACATCATCATCATCATCAGTGGATGTAATTTGTGTGACAGTTAAATTGAATTTCATTTTCTCCCTGACCTTCTGAAATGTAGTTTTATATTTTGGTAGTCCTTGATTATAGGAGACTAGTTTCATTTAAAAAAACCAAGGTCCTTCTAACTCAGTCTCATACATAGTGACATCTTAATTTAGCTAAAGGTTGTTTGAGCAGTGTGGTAGGATTTATTTAAAGTAGTTAAGATATATGTAAGAATTAAGTCGGTGTATTTGAGACACATCAGTCTGATGTGTGTTGTTACTTTGACTTTTATAAAAATTACAGTTGTACTGCAGGTATTCATTCTCCTTAAAATTCAACTTTTCCCCTGTAGCCTGTTGGTCAACAGGCTGATGGTATTGATTTGTGACTAAATGTTGCCTTTGCATCAGGCTCAGGGATATTTGCTGTTGCAAGGAAGTGTGTTACAGGCAAACATTTTAAATGCATTTGTTAATTCATATTCTTAATTTTCTATTATTGTTATTTTGTAAAAAGTTATTTTACTAGATTTCTTAGAGTGTATTGGGGTTCTGACATCCCTTTGGTTAACGATTACCAAATTTTTGGTAACTTTTTCCTTAAATAAAGCAGGTACGTGTTATACAGGGAAGCTTATAAAACCCATGTTTTTATTAATAAAATTAAATTTAAAGAGGCAGTGTTATCTAGTTAATAACAAGAGCAAGTGTTCTTGCTGAATTCACCATGTCAGATGTAATTTAAAAAAAAAAAGTGTTCTTTGTCCAAAACAAGAGACTGGCATTAGCAAATGTTGATCTGGGTTTTCAAATATGCTGGCTTCTGCTGTGCAACCAGTAACACTCACAAATTCAGTAGCTTTATTTTTCTTATGCGAGAAGAGCCTACGGGCATATTTTTAAAAAGTAAAACTACCTAAAAATTATGGCGGTTAGTAGTTTTGTGAAACTTACATAGCATTGAAATATATTTCAATTTTTTAATTTTATGTCACAACATTATACAGTCTTAAAATATCAGTTATTTTGAAGAGTTGAAGTGTAAGACTGAAGCAAGACTACAGAGAACTTTCTTTTTGGTAGTCTTATTTATAATGTAAATAATGAGTTGAGGTGGATAATATTATGAAAATTTGTGTTGAGCATGATTAAACTTGATATGGAGCTTAAAATGTTGGCCACTGCATGTGTCTTGTCTAACCTGGAATTTCTTTGTTAATCACCAGCAGAGTCCAACTGATGATGTTTCCCATTAAGGAAATCTTGGACTAGAAATTGAGTGAAATTTGATGTTCAAATGCAGAGGTAGCCAAACCTCGTGACATCCAGCTGTGTACCAGATCCTTATGTGGCTGAGGAGCACTACGCGCCTCGAAGCTGGGATGTGTGAGAGGAGCTTACAGATGTGGTGAAAATTATTTCCTAGGGCTCCTCAGTCGCTGCAGGAGGGAACTGAGCTTTATGTAGCTGGGTCCTCTGTTGCCGCAGGCTCTCGGAGTCAGCAATAGTTGTGTGACAGAGCTGCGCTCAGACTGCTGGCAGACTTGTGTAGCTCAGGCAGTGAATTGGCTCTGTACAGTTGTAATATCAGAAAGCATCATAAGCCACATCTGCTGTATATTTGTATTGTGTTGTTTTCCATTCTGGCATCAGCTGTTTTGGTCAGGCTGTTAACAAGGTGTGATTTGACAAGCTCGTGAACTTTCAGGTTTGCCAAAGTTCACTGTGTTAACAAACTCCACAAGGTGTTACCTTGCATCACTTCTTGAATCGCTTTGTTACTGTATATGCAAATAAAGCATATGGAATGTAACTAAGCTTCCTGTCCATCTACAGTATTCTCACCTCCGGCTGGATCAAAGTGTTATGCAGATTTGTTATCACAGTTCAGCAAATGTGTAAGAAATTCTAGTCTATTTGTAATGAGCTAGCTCTCAGTATTTTTAAATTAATACCAAGATCCAGAGATTGTTGAATGTTCTTCCATTTTTCTCTCGCTATAGGAAGTAATCTGGTATCAGCATTAGTGATATGTTGATTGTATGTGAAACGAATATACTTGTGACATGCATTTTAATTTAATTTCTTATTTCATATCCTTTTGTTTCCACTTGACAAAAAAATCGGATTTGCACTAGTTTTTAAAAGCCTGTATCTTGAAGACACAAAAAGTAACTCAACATCATGCTTCCTTCTCTGTAAATGTGATAAAAAACCCTTCAAGCAATAAAGCTTACTTCAACACTCGTGCACTCTCTAATTATGTCAGCATATGGATTAATAGGAAGAATTAATCTTTCAAGATGTTCTTCAATAGAGATCTCTTCCCTGGCAAAGTAGAAGTTGCTATAATTGGCCTTTCTCCTGGGGCAGGGACAGGCAGCAGACCTTCCCGCAAAAGGTGTGCCCAGGTGGAGGACCTCCTGCAGTGGGCGGCTGAGCTGCCGGAGGCAGTGAGAAGGCTGTGCAACATCAGGGAGGCTGAGAAGGAGCTAGAAAGCTGGCTCCGAGCACAGTCTGCAGGCTTCTTCAGTTTTTTTTTTCTTGCTTTTCTTTTGGGAGGAGGGTGGGTGTAAGTTTGTTCTAGGAAAGAGATATTTCAGGAAGTGACATTTTGCAGCTGGAATAAAAATTAAGTCTTAGTGGCTTGGAAGAAAACCAAGTATCTCCTAGCATGTTTCTAAAATGTGTAAGTATTGAGAGCATTAAAATACATAAACAGTGTTTTAGAGAGTCAACAGAGCATCACAGTGTAATACAGTGAGGGTGACAACTGGTATAAAAACAGTCGACTCTGGAGTATATGGCTGTCTGGATAGCCAAACATCATTAAGCATGATAAGTACTTCTGAAATGTAGTTTTGACTGCCGGCAAGATGCAGTATTCCTTAGGGCGAATGAGTTTGGCAGCTTTTTTTGTCTTGCAAATGGGGATGACATTATTTTGCTACATCAACATTAAATGAAAGCCATCCATGGTGAAAAGATAAAAGATGGAAATTTGTTGGAGATGTTTCTTTTTAGAGCGTAATACAAAGCTCAGTCTTTGTATATGGCAGCAGGATTAAAGGTTTAGAAATATTGTAGATTAATCTTAATTTGTACTGTTTTCTAGTGCCCAAGATGTATGCAGTGTGATACAAAATTTGACTTCATAACTAGAAAGGTAAGAGAAATCAATGAATTGTAAAGCATTAGGTGTTGCAAAATACTAATACGGACTTCTTCTGATTTAAATTGTAGAAGATCTCAGTAGAATAGCATGCAAAGTCTGATGTAACTTAAAGTAGTTTTTCTTTTTGCTCTGCCTTTTCTGAGTAGAGGTCCTTTTAATTCTGTTTCTTTGAAATTCTTCTTGTTGCTCAATGTGTAATACATAGTTAGGGCTTTTTCCAAATTACTGGGTACCCGCAGGATTTACATTCAAAGGAAGAGTTAGAGGAACTCATGCTGGAGTGGACTGCTAACACCAGTACTGACAGAGAAACCAAATCAAACAATTCAGTTGTGTTTTGGGAGATAAAATTAGTGGCGGAGATGTAAGCAAAAGTATTTTCAGGAGTAATGAATTATAATCTTACATTGAAGAACCATGCTGTTAAAATGTGGGGAACCAAAACTCTGATTCTCCTCCTGTTCTAAAAGCAAAACAGGATTTATCTCAGGTTTGGAAAAGGGAATTTCTGATTAAAGTAAAAAGTGTAAACCGCCTTGATTGCTGTGACCTGTTATTAGGCTCACTGTATGAAGAGAAGACACTAAAGTTAGAGTTAAAATATGTTACATAAAAGGAAGCAGTTCACTGTGGAACGCACGCTGGTGTGCAAAATGCTACTATCAAAAAATGTTTTGCTGATACTAGTGCTTCTGCATGGAAAAGTAAAGCAGCCTCCCAAAAAAGGCCAACGATGGATTTTTGGCAGGGAATACAATTCCTTTGTATAACTGCATTGACACACTCATAGCATGTGCTTGCAAAAGTGAAGACAGGCGTGGAAGTGTGACTTGTAATGCATTGACATAGTCGATGGTTTTTAATATATTGTTTGGAGGGAGAGGGAAGGAGAAATTGTAAACCAGACGTACTGATATGTTACACCAGATAGGTGTAAATTTTCAGTCCTGAAGAGCATTGGGATGTCAGTTAGTGATCCTAGGAATAGACTAGACTAGACTATTTCAGTTGGAAGGGACCTACAACGATCATCTAGTCCAACTGCCTGACCACTTCAGGGCTGACCAAGTTAAAGCATGTTGTTAAGTGCATTGTTCAAATGTCTCTTAAACACTGACAGGCTTGGGGCATTGACCACCTCTCTAGGAAGCCTGTTTCAGTGTTTGACCACCGTCTTGGTAAAGCAATGCTCCCTAATGTCCGGTCTAAAGCTCCCCAGCGCAGCTTTGAACCATTCCCATGCATGCCATGACTGGATTCCAGGGAGAAGAGCTCAGCACCTCCCTCTCCACTTCCCTTCAGTCACGGAGTGTCTTCTTGTTCTTGTTTTACCTTTTAGTCAGATGGGTTAAGAGCATGGTGGTTGGTTTGAGTGCTTTGGTTGAGAAGCACTAATTCATGAGGCTGCTGTGTTTTGCTTGTGTTAGCTTTGGGAAATAAATGGAGGTAGCCTTGGGAAATGGGTACTCCAGAGAATTTTGCATAATATTTGGAAGGAAAGCTGAAGACTGACCAGAACTGCAGTGTATCAGTTCCTTGTATCAAACTGTTCAAACTTGCTTTGAGCCACAAATGAGTCCCTGCTTGCCTGGGAATACTTGTTCTGACATGAGAACTTGCATCAGGAAGACCTGCTGGGACTGTCACATCCCAGTAGTGATTTGGAGCACAAGCCCCTTGTTGCAGATTTAGTAGCTGTGAAACACGTTGCAAGACTAGTTCTGGTTTTGCAACTTCATTGGATTTGTACTGCGCTGCCTGATGTTTCTGACAGAGAAATAGCTTTAGGTTTTAAATATGAAGATTTTTATCTCTTTCCATGGAAAAAAATTGAGAGTAAGGGAGAAGAATAGGGTCTCCAGTTGAAGTTTCCCAAGATCTTTGCTTGGAAGTGGGAAAGGACCTAGAAACCACTCTTCTCTTGTGTTTTTATTGACAGTAAGGCGAAGGATTTACTGGACACTGGAGGATCCCTTTGGGTGTCTTGTCTGGTCTGCTTTAGAAGCATGTTTAGAGTGCCAACAAAGGGTCATAGTGCTGTTGTTCATACTATACTCAGTCCTTTGTGTTCAGTCTTCAGAGATTTCTTTCTACCACTCTAGCAGTTAAATTTCCTTTACCTATCCCTCAGCTTGTGTGTTTCACACCTGAGAACCCTTTCCGTTTCTTGGGGAGGAGGATATTTAACGTAGTAACTTTATCAAATTATTCCCTAATAATTTCATTTGTAAAGAAACAAAATGTTCTCTCATGCTTAGCATCACTGCCGAAGATGTGGAAAGTGCTTCTGTGACAAGTGCTGCAGTAAAAAAGTGCCTCTGCCTCGCATGTGCTTTGTGGACCCTGTGCGCCAGTGTGCTGAATGTGCCCTCATCTCTCAGAAAGAAACAGAGTTTTATGACAAACAGCTTAAAGTACTCATGAATGGTAAGGACTGAATGCATATATATGCTGTTTGGATCTTATATTTATTCAAATGCTGTGTTAAACAAAGCAAGAGTAATGCCGCTTGTCAAACAAGCTGCAGTTTTGTCTCCTTTTAGTACTGTTTTGTTGTCATGCCTCTTGTTTGCCAGTTAAAAATTCTGTGTTATCAGTTTATTTAGAAAGAAGTTTACACTTTTTAGTCACTGTTTACAAAGAGTGATTTAATTAAAGAAAAAGGAATTTTTGATGCCTCTGAGAACAGATGTGTGTACAGTTGGCATTTTTCTTAAAATAATGCATCTTTTAGCCATATTCCTGTTACGTTAAATAAGGATGAAAAATAGTTTACAATAGAGAATATTTTAATATTTTCTAACAAGACACAGTACTTGTTTCAAGCTTCATCTGTGAGCTTTGATCTTGTCCATGGCCTACAGCTATGGTTGATGGCACATTATCATGAGTGGTCAATTTTGCATAGCATTAAAACTACATGCAATAGAGTAATTCGTGTTTCAATTACATTAAGAAAGCTGAATCTTCAGTTTTTAAAATACCCTGTGATTGTTCAGTACCTTCTGATGGGGTCTCAACCCTCAGCATGATGCCAGTGTGTATAACCGGTAAGCTAAATGACATGACTGATTGGCGTGAATGTTCCTAGGGAGATCTGAAGTTCAGAAAGGAGTTATGTTCATCCCTGTAACACACAAATCATTCTTCACTCTGCTTTGCAGATGAGGGTGTAGATGAGTTTTTTGATAATGTATCTTAAACTGATGACTTTTTTTAAAGCTTGTCCTGCTTGCATTCATGTTATGCAATTACAGTCTGAAGTTGTTCCTGACTTGCTGTAGAGCCACAGATCTCAGTCAGAGAGATGGTGGCTGTGAAGTCCTTTGCAGTTTTGCTGCTGTTGTCTCTTTGTCTCACTTCAGCAGCAGCCTGAGGGGTCAGTGGGACTGTGTAAAATTGTGAAACAGACAGCAAGGTGAAGCTCTCTGAGGCCACGTGAATCAGATTATGGAGATGGATTGCACACCCTTTGGCAGGGCTGTATGTTGTTATTTTTTTTCATTTCCCGGACCAACAGTGTTGGGATTAGGTAATACAGGGAGCGTGAGGCATGGAGGAAATAAAGTGGTTAGGCATGTAGTCTGCTTTATTTTAAGTTATGAATCACTTCACTAATGTAGCTAAGATGACTTTCCCAATGTCAAAGGAGCTGTTTTGAGCAGGAAGAAACAACATGAAGGCTGAAGTTCACTGACCTCAAAGTAAGACTGAGCTAGCCTTCAGTAATGAAAAAGAGGTGTATTTGCTACTTATGAAGCGCAGAGCTGAAGGTCACATCCTGATATTAGATTCTTCTGACAGATTTTTGTGGAAAACTGAAACAATAGTTTGTATTGCAGTGACAAGATAGGGTCTTTAATTGCCTGGTTTTTCCATCTCCAAATCTGTTCTCATTTTTAAAAGATTCATCTTAGATATCATCTGTGTTTCTACACGTGGCAGAAATTAGATAGCAGTTGTCGAAGGTCCTGTGATTCAGAACATGATAATTAAAGATTAGCTTTTTATACTTGAGTGTTCTGCTGATGTTAATCAGTTTAACATTTTAATTAGTCTCTTAATTCACCAAATTCAGTGTATTATGTGCAGTAAGTAAAAATTAGTTATCCTTTTTGATACTTGAATGTTCCTTCCTCAACTCTGCATTAGAATACTAAAACATTTCTTTCCAGGTGCTACATTCTTTGTAACTCTGGGAACATCTGATAAATCTGAGCTCATGGTTTGTCGACTTTCCAACAATCAGAGGTGAGAAAGATTGGTAGAAATTGCACTTGTAAACTATATTATCGTTGCACTTAGAGCTATATTATTATCTGATAACTTAAACAAAATATGAGTAACATGCTGTGAGGATATTGGAGAGAGTAATCGGACTGAAAGGATAGATAAAACTTTACTGAAGTAAGTTTGTTTGAATTTACTAGCAGTGTGGATGAGAATGCCTTGGAATGGTGGAGTTCCACTCGCTGATAATTCCTCTCAGTGCCCACGGAATACAGTGGTTTTGCCAGCTCATAGGGGGATCATAGGAAGTAGGGGCAGAGAAAAGTCTGTAGCCACTGAAAAAAGCTTGTTTCAGAACAATTCTGACACCGCACCATATTGTTTAACATGCCAGCCAAAGCATTGCCTTGGTCATCCCTGTAATTTGGTTGGCTAGTACACTTTAGACTGTGTTCTCTTCTCCTAGTACTTTGGAAGAATCTTTTAATATTTTGAAAAGGTCTCCTGGCAAACTGAAGTGTAGGTTTTGTGGCTTTTTTTTCCTTTAAGTGAAGAACTTCAATGAAAAGTAATTTTTCCTTCTTGATTTCTCTCCGCCCCCCCCCCCGAACATATAAACAGCTAGTCACTGAGAGATTATGTTTATTTTTTTTCTCCTTTGATCTGGACTTGGTATTGTAGAAACAAACATTTTTTTTAAAAAAAAGTTTTTCTTCTGTTATGTAGATATCTGGTTTTGGATGGAGACAGCCACTATGAAATTGAAATTATACAGATTTCAACTGTTCAGATTCTTACAGAGGGATTTACTCCTGGAGGTAAATTTTTCATTGAATACAAATTAACTGTTAAGACAAATACATAAAGTTGTAATTACTGTTCAAGCTAGACAGTGCATTTCTAGGTTATTGGTAACTTCGGTGTAACTATGTTAGTCACAACTGCTCTCAGAATAGAGTGCAGTGTGTGAAACCCTGTCCATGTGGCACCTGGGATTTTGTTGAAAACCTAAAAACTGAGAAATTACCTTACAGTGGTAATATGGGAGAGCTTCTCGGTAAAGCTGAGTAAAGGTGGTCATCATCTGTTCTGATCCTTCCTCTTGGTTAAATATAAACATCTATTGATTCAAAAGCTCACAGGAGAGAACTGTTAAGTCTTTGGTAGCTTCCATTTCAGAATCCAGCTGGGATTTCTCTTCTACTGGTACAAACAATTGTGAGGAGAGTGAGAGAGAAACGGGGGGCGGAGGGGAGGGGCAGGGAATTAAACTATACTTTCTTAATTTCGTTCAAGATGAAGGGGTGGCCAAATGAAACCAGTAACATCTGAATCAGAGGGCAGCTACTTACTGCCTCATTTCTTACCAGATCTTAAGAGTATTTCAGGATGAACTTGAATATGATTTCACTGAAATGAGAACAAACAAGGTCAGGAATTTTAATAATTGTTCTTTAGCAACACCTCTGTCACTACTGGATTTTTTGTACTTGGACAGCCTATCTGTGCAATACTCAGTCAGTACAGCATGTTAACTTTAATAAACTTCTCTTGATATTCAAATCAACCAGATGTGTTGCCGAGTTACTTAATGCTCCTGTAATTCCTTGTTCACTGCTCTTCTGACTGCTTTACCTTTTTGCCTGCCTGCCTGCCTTCTTGATGGTAGAAAAAGATACTCACACTTATACCAGCCTTCTGGAGAGCCAGCATATTACTGAAGGTATCGCAAGTACCTTTGAGCATGACTCACCTAAGCATGTTGTCATGACCCCCTTCCCCTCTTTCTTCCTCTGCAGTGCTGTTTTTTTGCTTGATCTATAGCTGTTCAACTTAAGACAAGTTACATTCAGATCTGACATGTATCTATTCCTTCTCCTCTGTCTGTTTAATAAACTGAGAATGAATGTTTTGTAAGCTTTTGGAGAACTAAAACACTCAAGGCCTTCTTTAGACCACATGTGCTATTATTGTCCATGCTAGAAGAGAGAAGGAAGATGAGAAATCATGTCTTTAGTGGTAGGCAGGATTACATATCACCAACTTCAGCAGAGGTGTGCTGAATTGTGTATACCAGAAATGAGTGGTAGACTTCTTGTGTACTGTCCAGTAAGGCTTTGCACTGAATAAATAAACTGTTAATTAATGGCTTGCCTTTACACGTCTTTAAAAGAAGACCTCTTGTTATGTAAGGTGTGTTCCGCCTGACTCAGCAATGTCCTGCAATGCCAGACATGGGCAAACTGGTCGAGGCTGTAGGTGTTTGATTTACCTTTAAGTAGTCCCTTAGTCTGCTGTTCTGACCAGGTGGATGCATAGGAATGACGAGGTTGGTTTCAGTTTATCCTAGAAGAGGAGCAAATAGCTACTTTTATAAACGCTGCTGGCGGGCTTTTGATCGGGTTGCTTAGATGGAGATTGTCTTTGTTTGGCTTCTTGGATATTACAGTAATGGCCTCCAGGAGCGCTCTCATGCAGACACTTCTTAAAAGGAACTTTGCAAAAAGTGTCCTTCTGTGTATGGTGATGCTGTTTCTGGGGCTTAGTTTATGCTCTACTACTTCAGGAAATAATGCCAATAAAGTGTGGTATTCTAAACAAACCAAAGCAAAAACACAGAAATTAAACAAAAGCTTTATCTTAATCTCTATGCAGCTAGAGTAAAAGAGATGCAAACATCTCACAATCATGCTGTTGTCAGAGCAGTGTCCTTTGTAGCAGATTTCCTTCAGGAAGTAAAAGCTGTTGCCAGTTGTTATCTAGTCTTGTGTAAGCATCTTTCCCAACCGTTGCCAGGTTTGGAGGGACTTCTGAGTGCTATGCCAGACTTTATATCAAGCAGGGATCCCTCTTTGATACCAGTCTAACTGGACACTAGTAATTCAGTTTACAAACTGCAGGCTACAGTGTGAAACTGCGGTATCTCCTTAAAAGAAGACATGGTAATAGTAAAACGTGAGGGTGTTCTTAGTGTGCGTAGCTGGTGGCTTTACCTGATAGCTTATAGAAGTTGTGCCTTGGTGATTGCCAGAGAAAATCAAACAATATTGAGTCTGCACATTCCATTGCCTGGCGCTAACACCTGTGGTCACTGCCGCCTCTGATGTGGCAGTTGCTAGTGCTTTGAATTAAGTGATGAGCTAGTTTTCTTCAAACATGCTTATTAGCTAGAAGAAGTTGTGTTACTTAGTTGGTAAAGCCTGTTGCTGTTCAAGATTTTTCTTTCTTTTTTCAGGAGGTAATACTCGTGCCATAGGTATGATTCTGCAGTATAAGGTACCAGGATCAGAGGAGCTAAGGCAGATGAAATTTACAGCCAGTGAAGACTTCAGCTGTAACAAGAAGCTGTCGGCAAGCTGGCTGGCAGCTATGCATAAGGTAAGCAAAGGAGGCAGAACTTGCAGAAGGCTGAAGGAAATCTTTACGTGGGGTGCTTAGAGTATGCAGCCTTAGGACTATTTTTTTTTCTTTTTAGTAGTTTTTTTTTTCTTAAATAAGGCTTTTAGGGCCTTGTTGCTAAGACAACAGCCACCCCTAACCCCAGCATTGAACTCTGTGTTCAGCACAGTGCACTCAAACTTTGTCTTGCCATGTGAGTACCAGGTGGCACTTCCTTGTACCCATTCTAATTCATCTTTCACAAGTGATACAACTCCTACAAATATGGTGAGAACTGGTATTTTATGGATAAGCTTAATACCCTCCCTCCACAATCTGTCTTCTTTGACAGGAGTTCTGCTCAGTTTTGCGTAAAGCGATCAGTGCGACAAAGGCTTCCAGAGGCCCTAGTTAACAGCACGTAAAAGGACTTGCAGCTAGAGAATGCTCATCTGTTCCCATCGCAGGGGGCTGGTTGATACTACAGTTTGAGACAAATGGAACCCCAAAACTTGGCGAGGAGGAGACAGAAGGGGTAGGAGGACTGTAGAACAGCATAACATTGTTTACTGGATATGTTTAGACAGATTGCCAAAATCTCAGAAATACTACTTCTAGCTCTTTCCAAGGCAGTTTTTATCAGAAATGATCATTTCTGACCAAGAAGAAACAAATGTAAGTTGATCTGAAATCTTCAGTGACGTCAGGTTCTGCACCTAAAGTAACCCTGAACAGTCTCAACAATGACTCCAGTGCCTGTCTGAATGCTATTAAATACCTCAGATGAAGGAAAATAGAGGAAGCCTTTAAAGCCTTAGCTTTAAAGGAAACCTTTGGAGTGGTAGGGAGATGAGGTGGCTGCAAGTGAAACTTCAGTTAACACAATGATGTTTTGCCTTCACGTTAGGCAACAAAACTTCTTTATGAGTCCCGGGACCAGTAACAACAGCAAACTCTTGGCCACTTGAGGGAAGATACCAGCCTCCATGCCATGGACCTGCCTCTCACTTTTTCCTAATTTGACCGCTGGTAACACTTGCTGTTCTTGCCCCTTTCTCATTCCAGTGTGGTTCATGATGTAAGAACTGGCAAATGCAACGTGAGTTATTTGTTTTGAACCATGAGTATTTACTATAGTGTGCAATATGTATACAATTAATGCTTTAAACAGCCTCACCTTTTAAGACTTTGTATATTTTGTTAAGCCTTTATTGGCACTTAATATGAAAGTGACCTGCACTACAGCTAATGTACAGCACAACTTTTATAGTAACAATTATATATACTGTTTGCTACAACAAGCAAACAAATGCCTATGTCTCTTCTGCAGAGAATAGCTTTTGGGTATAGATCTCAGGTTTTTCCCTCTATCCAAATGTTTAAAATCAATGTACAATAAAATCTGCCTTAGATATGATTTTATAGAAATCATGTGGGGTTTTTTTAAACATTTCAGTTTAAACATCTAAATATTTCACCAAATACCACAAAACTGGACTTACATGAACATGATGTTGAAACTTAACTTCTGTAATAAATAAGCTTCCAGAATAATTTTTAGTTTTGTATTTTTTTTTGGTAACTAGCTTTTGTTAATCTAACTGTAATGCTATCTGAAATTGTATACAATTTAATGTACAAACATGAATAAATTAATTCACTTATTTTAAAAAAATGAGGTGATACTTAATTTCACAATATATAACTTCTTTAATGATGGGATACTGTGGTCTCTACTCTCTGAAACTTTTGAATTTTTATAAACAGGACCCTAATTTTAGTTCTAAGCGTTGATAATTGGTTCAACTATTGGGATGAATCCTCTGGCTGCGCATGCTGTGCCAAGTGTCGTTCTGCCCTCTGTCTTCCTAAGCTGGTCAGAGTTCAGTGAAGAAGTACACAATGCTCAGTTGTCAGCTTGTGTGTAAAGGATCCCCGAGAGCTTTTCTAGACCAGTATTAATCTGTAACAGTTGGAATACTGGAGTACTAGTGTAAGGAGGTTCAAAAATTTTTGGAGAGTCATTTTTTTCTGTGCAGCTGGTAAAACAATGAGGAACTTGATTAACAGATAGAACAGGGCAAGCTAGGATTAGTCTTTTTATGTAGCCTATGACCAAAGGCACATCCACGGTGGCTACCTATGTAAAAATACTGGAGAATGCAGCCATGCCTTAGCAGTACTTTATTGTGCACATTTACATGTTCTCTGAATTAGTGTATCATAGGCTCTTGAAATCATCACATTCATGTAGCAAATTCTTCAACAATAATACCCTTTCACTTTTCACCACAATATATACAGTTAATGCTAACCTGTGGTAAAAGCAAGTTACAGCACTGCAGAAATGCATATATAAATTATACACGGAACTTGTACATGAATTAATTGCATAATGTTAAATGGGAGAAAATTACAAGAAATATGGCTAAAACTCATAATGGGAAATTCAAAATATACTTTTGGTATATAAAATCATGTACAATTAAAATTCCAGTGAAGTGCTGCCTTTTTTTTTCTTTTTTGCTTGAAACTACAATGTAGTGGAATAGGTTATTGCATAACTTGCCTTGGCAACAGCTGTAGGCTGCCAAGAACCACAGAAACTGTCCTCAAATAAGCTATTACCTTTCTTAAATCCTTCTCTAAACCTTGCTTCTTCCTTCTCCTTGACTTAGCATCTACACAACCCTCTTTCTACTTCTATCCCGGCCTTCATATTTTCTTCTAGACTGACTTGGGCACACTTGAAATTACACAATATAACCCTTACCGGACTCTTACCCTTTTCGACTATTGCACTTTCATCCATGCAGACGTACAAATCCCTTAAGCTGCTGCAAGTTCGATACTAACTGTTTGGTCCAGGGTGGACAAGCTGAGGTGGTTAGTAGGGGAACCTTTACATGAGTAGAGGTAACACTGGTGCTGTAGGCTGAGTAATAAGAAAATAAAACACCAAGTGATGTAGGGATTTTGAGAAGTGTACAAATATTGGTTTTGTTAGTTCTCTATAGCTTGATTCTAAACGCAAATAATACTAGACTATGTCAAGCTTTTGTTGGGGTTGTCTAGACTAGGATTTAAGTGTATAGCATGTTGCCGCTTAAAATCCCAGCCTTCATCAAGCTTTGGTGACTACTTAATTATGCATGTAATAGGTGAAGGTCTTGTGTCCTAGAACCCAAAGAATTGATCAGTAATGAGAACTCAACATTCACTGGTATTGAACAAAATATCCAAAATCCTGACATGGGACAGTTACTGTGGGGCCGGAGCAAACTGGACAGCGTATCTGCACTCTGCAAATGACACCTTTGAACACTGAACACAAGAAAGCTCCTACCATGGAACTTTAACTCAAAACACTGCTTTAGACAACAGTTGGCGCAACACTGTAGGTAGTGGAGGTATCGCTCTCCTCATCAGTGGTGGGTCACATAAAAACAATCCTCATTTACAAACTGCAGATCTTGGAAATCGTGGATGCTGTCCATTTAACAAGAGAAAGCACCATTAAAACTAAGTATCATAGTTTTATTTCTCTGTGTGAAATGATCAGAAATGATGGCTCCAGTGTACGTTTTAAGTTTCCAGTTACCAGCATGGTATTGCACTGTTGTACAACTGAATTCAAGCAAGGGTTCGCTGTCTAGGTTTTATTCGTGGATATAACTGTAAAAACAGAATAAAAAAATATTAGGCTTTGCATGGTTGATACCAAGTTAAATATAGATCAATTCAGTCATAATCAAAGGCTACTTATTAACAAGAACTGGGTGATGAGGCGTTTTCGGGGGTGAGGTTTTTGTAAGCTACAGCATGTTCTTCCGTAACTTCTGAAAAATTAAACAAGCAGCAGCAGGAGGCCAAGGGCTGACTTACTCCTGCCCACAACAGCAAAACTGCTGCTCTGAAAATGACTTGGTTTATTTAGCTCAAGATCCCAGACTAGACCAAAGGATGCTTTTATGCAAGTACAAGAATTCCCTGTCAAGCCTTAGAGAGAGCTTATTTCCTGCTGCATGAGGTTTTCTTACGCATTTTGTCCTCTGTATCTACTTAGCAGCCTGACATTCCTGGTGTCTCATGAGAGCAGTCTTCCATTAGACCAAGAGCAGCGTGAATGACTTGCCTACAGGTGTCATCTTCAAGGCTCTTCCCTGTTTTAAATTTGTACGTATCTATATGTTCCTTATCTTGTGGCAGGTATTAAAAACCGTCCTAAAGAACTTCCTGGGCCAAAGCTTCAAGCTGCCCACTAGAGCCACCACACTTTACAGAGGAACCTTGTATTTTAGCCAAGGGGAAAAACAAAGCCTTGATTAAAGCATAAACTATATTAAATATTCTAACTTGCCAAATAAAAACCAGCACTACTGTCCTAACCATAGCCTCTCCTTTTTGTTTTACAACGACACAGAGGCTAGGGAGAATAAGGATAGTCTGCTTTGCACCACTTCATAGCAGTGTATCCAGATGATGCACAGAGGGATTCTGACCAAAGATCCATCTTGTGTTCCTACTTCAGGAGGAAGTAAAAAAATAGAAACTTACCCCAAGAAGATTTTTAGGCACATAGCCTTCTTTATCATTGAGGCGGGCCCACCACCACTCGGTTTCATTGTCATCCTTGCGTCTTAGAATAGTAATGGCATCGCCCTCATGGAATGACAACTCGTCATTATTCTGCGCTTCATAATCCCACAGAGCGTACACCACTCCTTTATTCATCACTCCCAACTTCTCTTGCACTCCTGTTAACAACAAATTAGAGAACACACTAGATGGTAAAATACCCTATTTTTCCCTAGGAGATTTTTAGTATGGACACTGTGGCCCAAATACTAGTCTCTTATTAATAATATTTCATGAACAGTTTCCAGTACTTCCATGATGAAATGCTTTCAGAAATTTAACTGCATGATAAAAACTAATTTTATGGAATATTTTAAACCACTTTAGAGCATGAGGTTTTTCTCTTTTGTTATATATGCAATAGAAACTTGACAATATTTTATTCAGAAGAGGATAAAACCAGTTTTACAAATGTTTGAGCAAAGGAGCTTTACAGAACTGCTATATATTTCTCATAGGCCTGCTTTCTACAGCGGGCCTTATACAGCAACACTTGAAGCTTTTGAAAATCTCCACAAAGTCAGGTATATAGAGCCTTAATGAAACTTATATCCTCTGATGTAAATTAAAAATTTGTCTGTTCCATCAAGGTACTTTTCTTGCAAAATATATCATCTTAGTAACTAAATACATTCTCTAAGTTAATTATTCATAAAGTGTATGCGTTTCTTCATGTGATCTGCTAGAAATTAGTGCATCTGGAAGTTGGAATAGCTCTGTCAAGATACTTGACAACTCACTGTTAACTGTCAAAACCTCCCCATGGAAGCATTTCCTTGAAATTAAGCCAAAACTTTAAAAATCTGTAACATTAGAAGGAGCCTGTGAAGTAACTCAAAGAACAGAACAACTATGAGCAACGTAATAATGAAAAAACTATTCTGTTTTTAGCATTTTGAAAGAACAGGTAGGTGATGGGCAGTATTGTCAAGTGTGGGGCCTAAGCAGCTGTTTCATGCAGATCAGAGAGACAAAAAGGGATGAATTTTAGAAAAGCTAAAGAAGTTTGTGAAGTAGTGTCACAGCTTACCATACAAGAACTGGGAACACTGAATATAACCTTCTTCCATCTCTTCACACTTGTCTGCAGCAGTTTCTATATCACTTATAGTTGAAGCAAAAATAGCTGCCCCAGATTCAACCAGTAGTTTACAGAGATGAACACTATTGCAGGAAGCAGCACAATGCAAGGGTGTCCTGAAATAAAGCAAAAATGTATACATGAAAAAATAAACTTCCATGAATCCTAACTATTTTGTCTCACAACACAGAGTTTAGCCTGTCTATTTTCAAAGGAAATTGTTCTTTACGGTTATAGTATATGTATGCATTGTCCAAAACCTGACTCCAGTAAAGCGAAACATTATAAAATAGATGTTAGCAAAAATGTTGATCGTCATAGCTTACAAAACTGCTGGGAATAAAAGGGTATTTTCCAGTAGGAGGAAATTTAAAAGGTAAAACAAAGGTGAGGGCAAACCAGATCAGCACAGCAAGGTTTCACATCACCTCCAAACGCTTCAGAAGTGCTACATCTACCTGTAAGGCTAGATTCTTCAAGAACACCAGATTCAGTGGTGGGTTATACGAAGATGGAACTTAAAGAAATTAACTTTTGTTATTTACAGTTTAATTATTTTAGCATCTGAACAAGAAATGCAACTATACCACTAAGTAAAACCTAAACTTCATGATTTAAGTATGCTTGCACATGAGTTGAACGCAGCATAACTTTGCATTTGAGTTTGTCACCACCTAGAAATTAGAAAGTGCTCATTTGCTGGGGGTAAAGGGGAAGGAAATTGTTCCCAAAACAGGTCTTGACTAAGTTTTTAATGTACATCAAAATGGTATTTCTCCCAGATGCTAAGTTAAAAATCTTGACACTTACCACCCATCACTATCTGCTGCATTTACATTTACACCAAAATCAAGCAGGAACTTCACAATGTGGTGATGACCAGCACACACTGCATTATGCAAAGGTGTAATTCCTTCATCATTCGGTTTACTGGGATCATCAACCTAT